GGCACCTGTCACCACATCCCAGCTTGAAAGCCTCAGCTTTCAGCCTTCCACAACAATCCAGCTCATTATGCAGGAACATCTAACCCCAAACTGTACTTCCAGCACTGCAGAAGTACTTGAGGGCAATGGGGCACTGCAGACAAGCAGAAGGCACTCCAGACATTCAGCCTGAAGAGATGCTTCTGATGAAAAAACCTGCACCACACAGAGGCAGCCTGAATATCACCAAGGGAGGGTGTAGTCTGCAATAAAGGAAGGGTTTCTGATGGGAACCCTTGTTTCAGCAAGGCCACCAACTGTGCTGCACACGTTTTTTCTCTCTTTCCCCCATTGAACGTTAACAATTGCGCTGCATCAGAGGGCAGGGCCCATGGACTGATGGGTGGCTGAAAGGACAGAAAACAAAGGGGTATTTTAAAAAAGATCACAGGCAACACAGCCACAGAAAATGAATGAGGAGAAACCAATTGCCTGGGCAGGAAGATAAATGGTGGCAGAAGACAATTGCCTTGTCAGGCTCCCAGAAGAGAGAGGCACAGACATTTGTTTTCCAGCGTTTGTGCAAATTTCTCAACCGAGAGAGTTCTTGTTGGAACGGGAACAGATGTTTGGCTTTACAGAAAACTCCCAGTTCCTGCAGGGGCTGGACGTTCCCAATGGACGAGTCTGGTACAAGAGGGAGAGCTCGTGGCACTGTCTGCTTTGGCCTCACGTGATGATGGGAAAAAATAGCTGGTAAAAATAGCTGAGGGGCACAGGGTGCTGATGGCTCCAGCCATGATCCTGCAGGCAGAAGCAGCGACCTTTGCACCAAACAGACACTGGTATCCCAGGGACAAAGGTGGTGGAGTAGAATTCACAGCCCACTCCTGCTTTGCTTGGGGGATACAGCAGTGAGAAGGGACAAAGCAGAGAGTGGGGGAGAGTTTTTACTTCAAACATTTCCCACAAAAGACAATACCTCGTTTGTGCATCAGCCACGACCCGCAGGGAGCGCAGAGACATTTGTTTGCTTATAAAGAGCCTTCCACACATCACATCTCAATTAAAATCCATACTCACATCTCCACAGCTAATGAAACAGGCTGAGCTTGCACACAGTTACACACTGTCTTACCTAACAGGACCACTGATCCCAGCTCCCAGCTTCTGAGTCCAGTTTATGTTGTACTCCTCTAAAATGGAGGTTTCCTATTCCAGAAAGAGCAGGAGGAGAATAAAAATAAATTACTACACCCCTTCCAAAAAAAAACCAAAACCACCCCAAAAAACCACAACAGCTTAGCAGACCTGATTTGCAAGATACTCAAGCAGAGAAAGAGCCTGCTTTGGAGTTTTGCTTCCCCTAGGAAAATTAAACATAAATACAAATGCTCACCTAACAATACATCTCAGTTTAAATTTAGTTCTGTGCAGCTGAGACTGTTCACCCTGGCACTCTGAAACAGGATTATTGAGAACAGCAAATGGGATCTTGTGCCTTTAATACAGAAAGCACATCAAGGGCACTTTTCCTCCCCTGACTCTTCAGTCCATCCTCCTGACTATAAATGATCAAACACAATTAAACACAACACACACAATTTCAACATTACTGTGTATTTTTAGGTCATATGATGCAATAGAAAATAATTCTGCTGCCTTCTTAGGGTTTTCAAACCTCTGGAATCATTATACTGTAAATTAAACCCTGCGTGACTAGTTTTAGCTTGTCTAATAATGAACCAGGCTCATGTTTATAATCCTTTTGTCCAAATCCATACAAACAGGGCTTGGTTTTGTTATGACACAGCTGAGGTGCTCTCATGCTCAAACATGTCCCAGGGTTTGGTGGCTGCTTCTGCCATGTGCTGTCACACCTAACAGCACAGCAGGGCTTGGTGGTGGCCATGCTGTGTGCCAACTCCAGTCAGCAGGCCATGCACACCACCACAATTCCACCTTTCACATTTTTGAAAGGGAAAGAAAAGAAGCTGGTAACAAAAGCTGTAACTGGAGGGGCTGAAACAAGTGGGTAAAATACTTCCCAAAACCACTGGAAACAAACAGAAGAGTCTGCTGCTGCCTGCAGAGCAGCTTCATTCTGGTCAGATTTGCCCCTTCACCTCAAAAAAAGGGAGAGCATGCCTGCTTTCCCTGAGGCACTGGCCATGCAGGGCCCACCCCAGAATCGCTGGCCTCCAAACACCACTGCCAGGCTGGGGCCAGAGCTCAAGCCACAGGGACTGAGAACAAAGCAAGAGAGGAAAGCTGACATTTAAGGTAAGATTTGAAAGGATTAGAGTGCAAAAGGCAGATGTGAAAGGGAAAAGTGCCTTTTAACACACTCTGGAGTCGGTATTACATGAATCATAAACCAGTCAAATGAAAGGTGGAGAGAAAAAAGTTAACTTTAACTTTTAACCAGAGCTTTTATGCAGGGTTTTCAAAGGGGAGAGCAGAGTGGCTCCCACAGGAGTTGTTGTTTTCAAGGAGAAGCAAAAAGAAACTTTCACAGAAACTTAACTAACATAAATTTCACTGGTGAGAAGTGTATTGTGGAAAAGCTAATTGAATGTTCTGCTATTCAGATACAGGGAATCAAAGGTATCCCAGGTGGAATGAAAACACCACTTTACAGCATGAATGAGCAGATAAAGGGTTCCTCTGACCTGGGGGGCACCTCCTCAGCACGTGCTTTCAGGATCCTGCTCAGTGTTTACACTGAGAAGTCAAAGCACTGAAATGAAGCAGCAAATCCCAAACTCTGGAGCAGCAGCCTGACTAAGTGAGAACCATTCTGCAGTATCTTGTATTGAAATCTGGTGCCCCAAAACCTGCCTACCCCTTGCAGCTGCACAGGCTGGGCTAAAAAGAGATACTCTCTGCACACACCAGCCCAGTCCTGACTAAACAGCTTCTGCTGCCATTTCTGCCATGTCACAGAGACCATTTGCTTTGTTTCAGCTGAGCAAGTTGAACAGAGGAGCTGATTAGGAATTGGGAGTCAAACGAAGAGAGAATCAGACCTCATCATTCTCAACTCCTGAAGGGTAAGTTCAACAACTACAAGGAAGCCCATTTTAAATAAAAATTTATTTCCTCTTTCACATTCTGCATCTTTCCAATGGCTTTAACTAAAAAAGTCAACAATATTGTTGTCTGCATTTTAATTTGGATTCAAAGCTTCCTTCAAAAGTTGCTTTACTAGCTTTAGAAGTAAAAATGAATAATCTAGTGATTAAGAAAGACTATTCCCCATTTCCCAGTGATATGAAACACATTATTTGAGAACTGGGATGTCCATCAATCTACAAATTGCTTATATAGAGTCACAGGGTGGTCAGGGTTGAAAGGGACCTCTGGAGATCATCTTGTCCAACCCCCCTGCTAGAGCAGAATCCCCTAGAGCAGATCCCACAGGAACACATCCAGATGAGTTTGGAATGCCTCCAGGGATGGAGACTCCACAGCCTCCCTGGGCAGCCTGTCTCAGGGCTCTGTTAGTCTCACAGTAAGTAAGTTCTTCCTTTTGTTTAACTTGAACCTCCAGCTTGTGCCATATCCCCTTGTAGCTGTGGAACAGGAGCTCCACATCTACCTTCAAGACTATGCAGCTGCAAACCAACACAGCTTCATAACATTCAAATAGTGTGAAGCACCCAAAATGCACAGATCCAAAACTGCCCTCTGAAAACATCCAGGTTATTTCCTCTGGGAAGTGGGAACACCTTGCTTCTCCCTTTATATCTCTGCACTGTGGACATGGGCAGCAGAGGGAAGGGATCCTGCACTGAGCTCCACATCAGGAGAACAAATCCCTCAGAGCAGCAGTACTGCACAGCTCTGGAGTTGCAGCCTGGCTGACAGGTCAGCTGGAACTGATCTGCTGTGGCCGGGAACAGAGGAGGCAGGAGAGCACGTCAAACCAAACCTGCTGCTGTGCTGTGTCCTCCTGCTGTGAAAGGAGCTTTACATTTCCAATCACTCCTTAATTTCCAGGGGGCAAAGGGAATACAGTAGGTGAAAATGTATTCCATCACCAAAAAAAGAAATTCACCCAAACTGGAAGTGTTCCCTCCCACAGCACAACTGCCTTCCAGCCAGCTCGGGGGACCTAAAACAACGGCTGGAGCATCGTCTCACGCCGAGTCAGCAGTCTGGGATGCTGGCTGCCTGGAGAGTCAGGACTGGGAGGTCTCTCCCAGCTTGATCTCTGAGCTGCTGTCAGGGCTGGGCATGCAGTGGGGCTGCTGGGGGAAGCTCAGGAGCTTCTCTGAGCACCCACGGGAAAGGTTTGGAACGAGGTGTTGGAAGGGTAATGCACCAGGCACAGCACCCGGGCACTTTGGGGACAGACTCACCCCTGCAACAGGTGAGAACCCAACGGGCAGTGTGACCCCTCCTCTGCTGCTCCAGCTCACTGCCTCTCTGTCCAAATAGCTCCACAGGGACACAGGATCCCAGACTGGTATGGGTTGAAAGGGACCTTAAAGATCATCCAGATCGACCCCCCCTGCATGGGCAGGGACACCTCCCACCAGCCCAGGCTGCTCCAAGCCCCATCCAACCTGCCCTTCAACACTGCCAGGGATGGGGCAGCCAAAACCTCCCTGTGCAACCTGTTCTTGTATCTCATCACTACCTTGACTCTTTACACCCACAGACACAGGTGAAAACAAATCAAACCTGAACAAAAACCAACTCTTTGGGAAGCTGAGAAATCTGAATCTTATATAAAAGTCCTAAAGGATTTGCCAGAATATGTTATTGGTCAGAATCCTCTGGGCTGAGGGGGGCAGGAGGCAGATCCAGGACTGTCCCAACAGCAACAGAACTACTTCAGCTTTTCTGTTTTGCTTTTAACCCCACATGGTCTGATGCAGATCTTCACCATCATGTGAAATACCATAGAAATATGTGGAAAGAGTTTTGTTTTTTTTTTTAAAGCCTCCAGGACAGCTGCTCCACCTGCACTGTACCATGAGTGAGAAGGAAGCAGGACAGTGCACAATTCCAGTCCTTGATCCCATGGTTTAATGACAACCCAGGCTGCGTGAACATGGTGCTTTGACTCCCCTCTACTTTGGGCTTTCTCAGATCAAAATGCAAGACTTGCATATTTGAAATCAATCGAGATTTCAACACCACCAGACTCTACTGCTATTAAAACTCTTGTTTTAATAAGCATTCACGAAAGCAACCAGAACCTGTGAGCGCAAATGCACAAGGTGAAGATCCTGCAGAGCCTTTAAAACATTGGTTTATTGTCACTTTTTCTCAAAAGGGTTTCCCTGCTTCTCCGGGAAATCCCCTCGGCCAGGTCACTGAAGGATTCACCAGGAAGTGCTGAAAAAAGCAACCTTGGGTCTGGTTCAGCTCCTCTATCACCACTGGAAACACAAACATCCCACACACCAGATTTGTTTGCATCGCAACGTCGGAACAGGGGGGTGAGGCGGCAGCGGGGGCCGCTGGGAGGGGAGACCCCGACCCCGGGCACCCGCTTCTGCTCCCCGCGGCCTCA